ATACCAGTCTCCCGGGTCCAGAGAGGGGATGATCGTGGCCAAGGAGACCATGCGGAACTTCAGGTTGACGATGTAGTTGTTGAGCTCCCTGAGGTCCAGAATGGGCCTTAAGCTTCCTTTTGCCTTGGGAACGAGGAAGTAGCGCGAGTAGAAACCCTTGCCCCTGAGCAATTGAGGCACTTCCTCCACTGCTCCTAGGGCGAGGATTGCCTGTACCTCCTGGATGAGAAGTTGCTCGTGAGAAGGGTCCCTGAAGAGGGACAGGGAAGGAGGGGGGGAGGGGGGGGGAGACAGACCGGAAGTGGATAGAATATCCCGCCTCTATCATGCGAAGGACCCAACGGTCCGATGTAATAAGGGACCCAGCACGGTAGAAACAGGATATATGGTTCAGGAAGGGATAACTGGCTGGGTTTTGCATTGGTAGTCTGTCCTTGAGCACACCTTCAAAATGGGCGCTTAGGGCCCGAGGGGGGTGGGTGGGTGTGGATTGGCCCTGGCTCTGTCCCGAAGGAGGGCGTGATGGTCTACACCGTGGGTACCTGCTTCTCCTACGGGAGGGCATTGTTGCAGGGGCTGAGGCTTAAACGGCTTTCTTTGAGTGGCCAGGGTATGCATGCCCAAGGATTTTATGGTGTTCCTTGTGTCTTTCAGGGTATGCAGACAAGAGTCAGTTTGCTCAGTGAACAGACCCTGGCTGTCAAATGGAAGATCCTAAATGGTGTGTTGCACTTCAGGTGGGAGGCCGGATGACTGGAACCATGCATTCTGACACACGGCGATGCTGGAGGCCAAGGTGCGAGCTGCCGCATTCGTGGCATCAAGGGAGCCCTGGAGGGAGGTTCAGGCTACCAGCTTGCCCTCCTTAGCGATGGCCCCCAGTTCTGTGCAGGACTCACATGGGAGGAGTTCCTGGAACTTAAGGATTGCAGACCACAAGTTATAGCTGTATCTGCTGAGAATCACAAGCTGGTTCACGATTCAAACTGAGAGGCCCTCCGTAGAATAAATTTTACTACTGAAGAGGTCCATGTGTTTCGCCTCCTTTGATTCTGTCCGCCTGATGAGTCTCCCCTAGACACCTAAGGCAGGAGTCATGGGGGTTGCCCGTAGGCATGGGCTTGCCGCAAGAACTACAGGGTTTGAAGCCCTGGGACAGCATGCCCCAGAGCCCTGCAGGGCACTCGTTGAAGGGGAAACCCCCCCCCCAACCACTACACTACACTTTAACTAACAAAGGAAACTATTTACAACGATAAGAGAATGCTAGGGAGTAGTGGAGTACTCGCTAGCAAGAGACCACTGTTCCAACAATGGTCATGGGCGGTAAGAAGGAACTGAAGGGGGGTCGGGCCGGCAGGGCCTTATATAGAGCGCCATATCGGCGCCACTCCAGGGGGCTCCACAGCCAGTCCGACAGGTAGTTGCTAGGGAAAAGTTTTCCAACTTCCGTGCATGCAGCATGCGCACACACCTAACTGGAATTGATATGAGCAAGCACTCGAAGAAGAACAGGTCCATTTTGGTGCCGAGAAAGTAATTGGCTAAGACTGTGAAGAGCCCGTCCAGACAAGATCTACTAAACAATAAGATTAAGTTACTCCTGCAACAGGTACTGCGCTCTAGGCTTTGCTGTACTCCGGTGTACACTGATTACAAGACTTACTGTAAAGCAACATTAAGAATAAGAAATTCAGATGAAAACTAACAGAAAAAAGTGATCCGCTTTTACTGTTTTGATAACAAATATGAAGTGGGATATGTGGCATACTGGAAGTTGTTTCCAGTTGTATTAGCTCCCCTACAGTTATTTATTTGATGCACATGGAGCAAAATAAAACTTGGAATTATTTTTTTTAAACTGTACATTTTCCATGTTTCTGCGCACTGCCCCCGCACCTCCCATTGGCCGGGAACACAACTGAATTATACTAATAACTAGAATAGTATTACGTACACTATTGTACACAAAAGCTGAGAGAGAATATTGTTCGGGTACCGAACAGGGTCCCAACAACCGTTATGGGTGGTAAGAAGGAACTGAGTGGGGTAGGGGCGTCTCTACCATTTATATCCGCAAACAGTGGTGCATGGTAGCAGGGGGAGTACTGAGTGCACAGACACCAAGAGTGGAATGCACATGTGCAATCACTCAAAGGAGAATAATTACACTAGTGCCTGATTTGATTTATTAGTATGTAACTAGTAGCACTGGGATTTTCTGAAACTCACCGCTACTCAGTTTCGAAGGGGGTGTATATATGAATTCCCATAGTGCTAGATTCCAGCAGCTTTTCCCACCAGGTCCTACCCACTACAAGATGCTGGTAATGTCAGCAGGGGGAGAGTAAGGTCCTCAAACCCTGCTCTCCCTCTCTGTTGGGGCACTCAGGAAGCATACCTTATGTTACAGTTTTCTATCTTACTTTTGCTTTTCTAATTTTATGGGCATTTACTCAATACTGACTACCAAAGGAGACCTCCTTCACTGTTTCAGAAACTTTTCAGAAATTTTCATCTTGAAACAAAAGAATACAAGGAGTTGCTCTGTACCGATCAAATCTTCAGAGATGGCCAAGAAAATTGAAAATGCAAGGAGGCTTCTCTTGCATTATCAACACTGGAAAATTACACTATGTTAGAACCTCACCCCGAGGAATCTTGGTAACTAAAATTATATTAGACAACTTGGCACTCATGTGTTTAACTCTGCCCAGCTGACGCAGTGCGAACTCTAGGCTACCTAGCTGTAACTTCAAGGGAAAAATTGTTATAGAAAAGAATTTTGTTCTTAAATTTGTGTAAACAGGCCTGATCCTGCAATTTTATACAGGCTGACAGACTGTGTCCCACGTGGAATCCACATATGGGCATTCCTGCACAGACCTGATGGTTCAGAACAATAGGCGCAACCTAAGTCTCCAGGCAATAGTGTGCACCAATCAATCCATATAAGGGTTCCATGTGGGACACAGTCTGCCTGTCTGTTTGATACATTCATATCAAAACCAGAGTTGACTTCTTTTAAAAACTAATTATGAGCAATGAACAAAATCTGCTGAAAACAGATTCCGACAAGGTTATCAATTTATAAGAGAAAATGAAGACTAAAATTTTTAACTAGAGTTTTGATTAAATAAAAAAATATTTTAGTACACTGGTCTTAATTTTGTGAAAAAAAATTGTGAAGTCCTATAATAAGAGAGTTCTAAACTTCTAATATGGATAGGCTTTTAGGAAAAAAATTACTAGATTTTTTTAAAGTACTTATGAACCCTGTTTTCCAGATCCTAATCTAGAAATCTTTTGTATCTCAATTAAGTTGTCAAATTATTCCAGTCTTCTCTACTAAATTAGTTGCAACTCTGGGCCCAACACAGAAACATGAGCAAATCATAGTGCATATAACATTAAATGGCAAATATAAAAGAGGTCAACATTTTCCAGAAAAAGTCACTGATGTATAGAGAAAGTTTTTCAGTTCATCAGGCAGAGTTTCAATCATTCAGTTATGTGTCAGTTCTATTTCAGGCAAAATAGATTAAACGACCTTTTAATGGTAAAGTCAGCTTTTAATCTGCATATTTACCATTCAAGATGTATTTAAAAAGTCACATAAAAGGATGATATTTTAGGTAGCTCTAGTGCCTGAATATAATTTTCAGAATTATATTTTCATGTAAAAAATAATCAGATTCTTTATAAAAATCTTACTATATCTGTTTCCTTTGGGCGATCTGTGATCTTTGCTACAAAGTTATTTTAATAAGTAACTATTTGAAATTTAGACCTTATCTGTGCTAAATTGATGACGTTTTGTATTTGTTAGAGGAATGTCTTAAAAGAAATTCTAATTTTACATGCCATTGTTGAAACCTAAGTTAAACATCATATACCCATCAGAAGAAATTGTACCACCCAAACAGCAGTCTCAGTGACTTTCAGTTTTAGCCATTACATAGCTAGAAGAATCTTTTACCCACAGAAATTGACAAAACCAACAGTACTACATAGTTTTAGTGGACTACTTAACTTTTAAATAATATTACATTTATGGGTAACACCATTTTGTAAAGTGTGCCAGATGTTTTCAGTTTATATATAAATGCCATCTACACTGAACATGATTCCAGCCTACTACCAGAAGCAGAGATCCTGTTCTGGAGGATGAGTGTATCATTCAATGACAATATCTAAAGATCCTGCTGCTTGGAGAAAGAGGCAGGGTGGGGGGGGAGGAGAGGAAGTCTGCCTCCTTTCTCCTCTCTTCCCCCACAACCAAAAGATCTCTTGCTGTTTCGGAGAGATGAAACTGGCTGCCAGAGCATTTACAGACTTAGATGACAAACAGTTCTTTTCACACCTGTTACATGCAACCTCCACATGCAATTTTCCTTCAATTTTTCAATTCTTGAGATAGGAGTGCATTTTAAGATTGATTATGTAATAGACACAAGATTAAATTCCCAGAAAGTACAGATTTCAAAAACGAATCTTATTTGTTTCAGTTACTTCCCCACATCAAATCCGCTCGGTTTACCAGTCTAAAGATGTTTTTTCTATCTACCAACACTGGAATCTGAAGGGCCAACATAGCTCACTGAGAGAGCCGAATAATAAAGATTTTATAACTGATATTTAACAATTGTTAATGTGGATGCCAGAATACATTATAATCCAGGTCTCACTCCCATTCTTATATCAGGTCTGATTTATTACTTTGTAAACCCCCAGTTAATGCAAGCATACTTTATTCAGTTATATTTGCTTACTTGAACAATAAACACAGGGTAAAGGTCTACTGAGTCAGCAGACGTGCCCTTTAAATTAAGGAGGCAGAAGTGCACCTAATCAACGTTTCAAGCCTATTTCATATTTTAAAGCACATAGCCTGAAGTGATGGTAATGTTAAGGATGCAGACAAGTCAACAAAATGTTTCAATGCAATTTTTTTATCTTGAGTATTTCAAAATAGGAACTTTTTTTTTTTTAATTCATACCTCAGCTGGTTCACTAGTGCTTATGGTCTTCAAAGAAAAAGCTATTTCCTGTTGTGGTTGAGCTTTTGCAGTATCCTCCTGAAATTCCTCTCCAACCTCTCTATCCAGGTCTTCAGCATCCTACAGAAAAAAGAAGGGAATGAGCCAACAGCTGCAGAAGAATTCCATTATCCTTTTCCTGTTAAGTCTTGGTTCTGTTGTGATACTAACTCAACTAGGTTGCATGAATGACATTAAGAGAAGTAAACATGTAAAGAAAGTATTAAATTAATACACCTGGACATGCAGTACAGGCCAGGATTATTACAAATAGTTTCTAGAACGTAGCACGAAAATATCTATTGAGGTAAATCAGTGATGTCCTGAAGGCAATAACCTATACAAGTAAATTACTTATCACAAACAAAATTAAGTGTTTTAAATTATGAATCACTTTAAATGTATGTACAAAGTGTGTGAATATGTAAAATGTAAGTGTGTGTGAAATTTAAAGTGAAGTTCTATTCTGAAAAGTGATTGTGTAAAAATGTCATTTGGGGTTTGATATTTGTTAATTCCATGCTCAGTTTACAAGTAAAAAGACGTTCCTAACCATGAGCCCTGCAGACTAAACCTGAACTCTGCTTATTTCATAAGTCAACACTATTAATGAAGGTTTTGCAGAAAAAGCTAAGCCCTCAGTGATGTATATGCAACTCTACTGTCTTCAAATTAGGTCTAGAGAGAAATCTTTCCATTTTAGGTGTTTATATAGCCCCAACCACCATGGTATCTGAGCACCTCATAATCTTTGTGTATTTATCCTCACATCACCTCTATAAATTAAGAAAGTACTTTTATCCCCATTTTACAGATGGGGGAACTGAGGCACAGAGGCCTAGTGACTGCCCAAGATCACACAAAGTCTGTGGCAGAGCAGGAAATTTAACCCAAGTGTCCCAAGACCAAAGCTATGCCCTAAACACTGGACCATCCTTCTCCACACACTCCCATCAGCTTGCACAGATGGAACCAATCAGACTGTAACAATTCTGTTGGTGAACGAGGAGGAATAGAATCCAGCTCACTCATTTTTAGTTAACAGACGTCAAAGGCAGTTTAAAACAAAACAAAACACAAAAAACAAAAACAAAAAACCTTACTTTTGGTCACTCAAATCAGCAGATATGACTGACCACACTGGAAGTATATCCATTGAATAAGTTCCCATCTGTACACAATCATTTTTCAAATGAGAAAATCACTGTCAGACCTACTTTAGTGTTCTGGATTTAAACTGTAAACTAGTTTGTCCTACTGTAATAGCAGTCTAACCTTACAACAGGCTCTCATATTGACAGTTTTATATGCACCCATCAAGCAAGAGATTTAAATAATTTAGGTTTTTTAATACTGTTTATAAGCTCTGTGGATGGTAAGAAGTTATTCTCACCTTTTGTACATTTAGGCTGATATACAAATCCAAAAAAGGTAGCTTTCTTAAACTGAGAATCAGAACGAAAAGTATTAAACAAGAACTTTATGAAACATATCTGGAGATGCAAAATTAAATGAAATTAGAGATATTAGAGTGTAGCTAGCACTTGATTCCTTGGATAGGAATCAATTTGACAGGATAATTGACAGGTAGGTTACATGTAACTATAGTATCTGGAATTCAGAATATATTGCCTCCGCAGGTCCCTGTTGGAGGAGTTGTTTCTTGCAAGCCACAGGCCATTATACAGAAGAGACACAAACACTGAGTGTGGAATTTGAGCATTCCAAGCTGTGGTTTTAGAAGCTCTGCTCCTTTAGAACCCTCATTTCTTCTTTACCACAAGTAAGATATTGCAAATCTACAGTGCCTTTCCCTCTCTCCAAAGGCATTAGTTACAAATCCCAGTTGATGGTTAAATCTCTCTTTATGAAACTGCCTCTGCAGAGTCTCACTGTAAGTGACTGGCAAGTAGTACCAGTCCCAAGGAGTGAGACCAATTAAAAAACAAAACAAAAACAAAAAGAAAATAAACCCCCCCAAAAACACCAAAGGACTGCTTTCCCCCAAAAAACATCCAGTATGACTCCAGATTTGAGATAGCAATGATTTGTAAAATGTCTAAACTGAACTGTGAAAGGCAGCCCTGCATTTGATATACATTTGAGCACAAGCAGCCAAAGTAGTTACTCTCCCAGTAGAACGAGCTCACCCTGTCCGGGAACACTAGTAGCACTAGATAGAGGTGAAACTCTTGTGCTATCTTTGAAAATACTATGAACTACTGAGGTGACCTAAGGAACTCTTACTCCGGCCCAGGTAGTAACTAACATCTTGTTCAAACCTAGCTTGCTGAGATAGAGCATAGCTTCTCCTAGGAAGTTATGATTCCTGGAGACTTAGAATTTCATACAAAATCAAGTTAAATTACGATCTTAGGTAAGAGTTTACATAAAGTCACATCACTACCATATCATTAGGGTATACGGTATAAGACAGTCTGCCAAAAGAACTTTCAGCTCACTCATATTGTACCTATATTTAAGAAAGGAATAAAAATGATCTGGGAAATGACAGGCCCATTAGTTTGACCTCAACTGTATCGTAGAATCATAGGAAGAGACCTCGAGAGGTCATCTAGTCCAGTCCCCTGCACTCATGTCAGGACTAAGTATTATCTAGACCAGGGGTCGGCAACGTTCAGCACGCGGCTCGCCAGGGTAAGCACCCTGGCGGGCCGGGCCAGTTTTATTTACCTGCTGACGCGGCAGGTTCGGCCGATTGCAGCCCCTCTGGCCGCGGTTCGCCGTCCCGGGCCAATGGGGGTGGTGGGAAGCGGCGCGGGCTGGCCACGGCTTCCCGCCGCCCCCATTGGCCCGGGACAGCGAACCGGGGCCAGTAGGAGCTGCGATCGGCCGAACCTGCCGCGTCAGCAGGTAAATAAAACTGGCCCGGCCCGCCAGGGGGGGTTTCCCGGCGGGGCCCGGGCGGGACGCTGGCGCCCCCCGGGCCTGGTAAAGATTATTTCCTGCATGAGGTGAG